AGCCCTCACCGGCTTTCGTAACTTCTTGAACATAATCCTTGCCTGAGATCTCCAAAACTTCTCCAAATTTGTTCTTCAGCTGGGTCGCTTTCCACTCTGCCAGTCTTTGTTGCCTACACATTGGAAGAAAGAATAAAGGTCCTAGGAGCACACACACGCACCCAGGAGCACATGCACGCACCCCCCGTCTCTCCAGAGGCCACCCTGGGGTCGTCCAGGCTCACTGATGTGCCTCATGCCAACAGTCTGGGACCGCTTCCTTGGAATGAATGACACTGATGTTAAATCATGGTCTTTTCCAAATGTTATCTCAGCTAGAAAATTAATTTTTCAGAGGGCACCCACTTTTTCACCATGCAAAACAAACAAAAAAAACCCACCCACACATCCCTCTGGGTGGCACCAACCTGTACATCTCAATGGCCCGCTCATCCTCCTCGTTGAATTCATCTTCATTCTCCTCCAGCTCCTCCAGAGTCATGTCTTTGTATGTTTTCACTGAATTGAGTGACAAAGGCACAAGTGGCAAATTTAAAAGATGAACAGGCAGTGGTTCGGGCGTTCCTCATGTTTCTCCTAAAGCCATGCGCACAACGGCACAAGACCCCCAGCCCACAGAGCAAGCACAGCGAGGGCCTGTCACTGGCAATGAGAGAGGCGGGCACCATGAAGGGCAGATCTCGCTGGAATCTGCTGGCTTGCCCGTCTTACCCTCCCTCAGCAATAACGTCTCCCATGTTTCTAAAACAAAAGAGAGTTGCCAGTGCCTTCGGCCACCTGGTCTGACCCTCAAGTCTGTGTGCTGGGGGTCCAGTGTCCCCGGAGTCATCAGATCACCCAAGGAGCCAGGCAGACACAGGGTCCTCCCCGAGCACCTTTCCTGGAGTGGAGGGTGCCCCTGCCGTACTCCTTGTCTTTCCTTAAGAGTGGCAGACACTCGTCTTTCCTAGTGACCAGCTGCTATGAAATCCATCTTATTTTTATTGTAATAAACACTCTTATTTCTTGACGTCAAAGCAGGCTGTGCCCTTGCCCCTTCTTGACTCTTATCAAGATCACAATGACCTCCATTTCTTGATAACAAATGGGCCCAAGCCACCACTGCCCTCCTCTGGCTTCCAGGGTGTCTCTCCTACCATGACCAAAGCCCTCCCACTTTGGGTGATTACAATTCCCAGGCTCAGGTCTGGGACGCCTCTCTTCGTTGCCTATGCTCACTCTTGGCAACTGCGCCTAGTTGCATGGCTTTAAGTATGATGGTGTGCTGACAAGTGCCTAAGGCAGGCCTCTAGCCCGGGGGGCTCCACCTGGACAGACAGACCCAGCTGCCTGCATGACAGCTCTACTTGTCTCGTAGAAATCCCGCCAAGCCTTCCTCATCCCAGCTGGCAGGACTCCATGCTCCAGGCTGCTCACTGCCCCTGTCTTGTGTGTCCCTCACACCACGTCCACAAATCTGTGGCCTTGCTTCAAGACACACCACACCTGACCGCTGCTCACCTCCACCACCACCTCGCTGGTCCCAACCAACGGTTCGTCTCTCGTGAACTTGGCTGTAGTTTTAGCCTCTCTGCTTCCTGTCTTGCTCCCACCCCGCGGGCCACATTCAGTAAGGCAGCAGGAAGGCAGTGCTATCACCCTGTCCTGACCTTCAGCGACCTCCCACCTCACAGCCATAAAAGCCAAGGCCCCTACAGAAGACTCCAGGTCCTCCATGCTTTGGCCCCTGGTGGTCACTCTGAACTCCCTGTCTACTCCTCTCCACACTGGCCTCCTCCCACATGCCAAGACAGCTTTCCACCTGCTGGGGGATGTCACCTCACCATTAGGACTTTACTTAGATGTCTCCGTCATCCCCTTCAGGTCCACATGAATGCCACCTCCCAGTGAAGCCTCTCTAGAACTGCTCTTATCCCTCCCGGCCCCTCCTAGCCCCTTTCCCTGTGTGACTTCCCTTATTATTTACTCTTCCCCTGCAGCTAGAATGCAGGCTCCACAAGGAAGGATAACACTAAATCCCCACTGCCCAGGACAGCAGGTGAGACAGTGATCGTTCAATAAGCACTTGCTAGACACTTTCTAATAAATCCTTCTCTGAGTTAGCTCTCGCATGTCAGCTGGGCACAGAAGTACTAGGCCCTGTGATTGATGTGTCGCACACATTAGCAAGAATCAGAAACCCTTTAACCCAGTTTACCATGCAGATTCCCGGGCCTCACCAGAGACTGACTCAGTTGGGACTGGGCATATGGACCAGCCCTCTAAGGGATTCCAACTAAGAAAACCCCCCCAGACCCCACATATTGCAAACATTCTAAACAGATTAAGTTGTTTTACTTTGATGTTCTTAACCAAACCACAAAGATCAATAAAGTGTACAACCTCAGAAGAATACAAACACTAAACTCTTTGAAGAAATTCCTATGACATTATTAAATTGAATCATAGACAAAAAAGTATGTGTTCACATAACACAGACCAGGACTTGTGGGGCTGTAGGGCAGCTCTGAAGTCCCCTAACTCTGTGGCCTTGGGACACCTATGACTTCCCTGAGGGCCAGCATTCCAGCCGTCTCCTGGCTGCTGCTCAGAGGCTCCTTCTACTGCAGTGGCTGGAGGCTCCCGGACTTGTTCCCAAACCTGGCAGACACAGAACAAGAAGACCAGCTCACCCACTGACTGCTGGAGGATCCGCTGTGCTTCCTCCTCCGCCTCCTCCTCCAAGCCTTTCAGGCTTTCCTTCGAGGGCAGGATGCCCTTCTTGCGTAAGATGTCATTCCATTCAGTGTCTGCATTGGGGTCCTGGAAAGCAGGGCAAAGAACACCAAGAATAAGAATAAGAAGTGCCCAGTTCAGTGCAGAGGGGCCACACTGGACAGAGAGCCAAAGGGGAACAGTGGTAGGACAGGAGGAATTCAAGCCACATCACTCTGTGACTTATTTCTGAGAAAAGTGTCAAAGACTCACAGACCCTGTTCTATTTTGTTCTGCCCGTTCCTCCTCCTTATCCTCAGTCTAGGAATAAAATTCAGGATATGACATGCTGATCAGCATCCGTATTAAAACCCAGGCTCTGACCTGGCTGCTGTTCAATATTTTTATAAATGACCTGGAATGACTCATTCAACAGATATTTAAGTGCTTGCTTAACGTGAATTACTGGATTAGGCATCAAGAAAGCCTGGTGAACACAGGAGTCGAGAGGATAACACAGACGGTGCACAGGTACATACACAAACCGCATATTCAAAACAAACTGTGGCTACCTTGAGGACGAACAGGCTGCTATTCTAGAAAGGGACAGGAGACCCACTAGAAAAACTGACATATACCAATCACCTGAGGGTGGTCAGAACCAAGCAGGGGAGAGGCGGGCTTAGGAAATAACTTTCCAGACAGAGGGACCAACACATATGAAGGCCCAAAAGCAAAGAGATATGACATTCGAGCACCTCAAAGCCTTAAGTGGCTGCATCTGGGAAGAAGGAGGCCTCAGCTAGGCTGACAAATTGTCTACAGGCCCAGCCTGACAGGAGCTGAGACCTTGGGGTACCCCTAACAATCAACTTTCATCCACCACTAAGCGCTGGGCAATCTTCCAGGTCTTTACCTATGTCTACTCACTTGACCCTTGACCATCAGAAGCCTGACTGCTCAGCATGGTGTCCAGAAAGGCACTATCATGCTGGGCAGTCAGGCAAACTGACCAGGACTGAATGCCAGGTGGGCACTCAGAGCCAGAACCCAAGTGCCCAGGCTCAGGTTTGCACGGTCTGACAGGAACAAGGCCAGTGGAGCTCAAACTTGGTTTGGAATATGAACTGAAGGAGTGCCCTGGACACCAGGGCGACCAGGCCCCGGCCCCCCTGCGTGTCATCAAGGGAAAAATGAATAGAATCCTTTCAGTCCAGGTCAGGGAACGCCCCTGAAGAGGTAGTAACATCTTCAAGCAGGGACCTGAAGCACAGAAGATGCCAATGAGGTCAGAGGCGCCCCAGAGCTTTCTCTTCACCATTTAAGAGCTTCTGGTTTGTGCCACTTGCTATATTTGTAAATAACCATCCCCTCCGAGCCCTCAGTGACCCTCCCCGCCCCCTAAAAAAAGTCATTTCAATGAAGTTTTCTTCACTTCCTTCAGGGTTTTTGTCAAATTCTGGCTACCAAATAAAACCAAAAACGAGGGGATTCTTATTTAACTCTTTTTCAGAAATTAGCACTGAGGCCGGGCAAGGTGGCGCACGCCTGCAATCACAGGGGCTGGGGAGGCTGAGGCAGGAGGGTCGCCAGCCTCAGCAACTTCCGTGAGGCCCTAAGCAACTTGGTGAGACCTTGTCTCGGGCGGGAAAAACAAACTAACAGTGAGCGGAGAAACTGCGGCTGAGACCTGGAACCCAGGGAGCCCGACGGGTGACACCCCACCTGCACGGCGCGAGGTGCTGGGGGACGTGCTTTGCACCTTGGGCACCCCTCCCAGCCGGGCCCCACCTCTCCAGCTCGGGCGCTAATGCATGGAGTTTAGTGAACGGGGAGTAACAGATCAACCAAGGCCTGACAAGCGCTTCACAGGCCCGGAGGAGGTCGACCTCAAGCAGGGAGCAGCCCCCGAACACCGCGCTCCGGGGAGCAGGGCAAGCACCGCCGCTGCCGGGAAGCCGGCTGGACCACGCCCGCCCGCCCGAACTGCGCCTGCGCGGGGCCTCGCCACGAGGGGCCTCGGCCGAACCTGCGGCACCCGGCGGTTCTCAGGCCTGGCGCCCGCGGCCCGAGCAAACACAACACAACAAACGAGACCTGTCCTTCAGACCCGGGCAACCTGCCTCGATTACCTGCATCTTGTCTCCGAACGCTCAGGCCACCCAGCCCCGCCGCGCTGTAACTCCTTTCCGCGCACGCGCGAGGCCCAGCTCCGCCTTTTCTCCCAGCCAGGCTTGGTCCCGCCCCCAGAAACGAACTGAGCGGAGCCAGGCGGAAGCGAGGGATCTGAGTCTGCGCCACGCCAAGGAAAGGGCACTAGAGCTGTGCGCATGCGCAAAACAGGACGCGCGTACCAGGGTCAGGTCGTGGAGCTCACGTGACTCGGGGTGATCCTGGACGCTCCCTTATTAGGAAAGGTCTTCGGCCAAGGAGTCGCTTGGTGGAAGAGGTGCTTAGGAGCGAAGCTGCAACTGCGACCCAAGCAGGTGAAGAGGTCTCTGCCCTCCCAAAGAAGAAGTCCGAAAAAGAAACACGTCTCAGTGGTCTGACGATACGATTAAAGATGATGCAGGGTCACCGGGAATTCGTCCAGTGTCCTGTCAGTATCGGATAAGGCGGCTCATTCCTAAGATATGTTTATTGTCCACCACGTGTCAGGCTCTATTCTAGGATCTGTGGATGCAACAGTGAGGAAAGCAGTCAAATGAGGGCTGTAGCTCAGTGGCACAGTGCTTGCCCTTGGGTCCAGTCCTCAGCACCAAAACCAAAAAGAGGTGAAAGTCCTTTAACCAGTTCAGCCTTTGGAGAGACACATGTGCAAAGGCTCTTAGCCGCACGCCACTGAAATCAGCAATCTGACTGCTAAGAGCAGGTGTTGGTCCCAGCGCTTCTGCCTATGCACCACTCCAAATTTGAGTGGAGAAGGGTACTCTTCCTAGTACTAAAGGAAGCGCCCTGGGAATAGACCCACACACCTGTCAGGTCGGCGTGGGGCTCCCAACCTCGCCTGCACATTGGAATCACCTTCAAAAACTGCAGCTGTCTGGCGCTCAATAGCCCAGCAAATTAAATTCCCGGAGGTGGGTCTAGAACTGATATTTTCTTTTTCTTTCTTTTTTTATTTTTCAGTTTTCGGTGGACACAGCGTCTTTTATTTTAATTTTATGTGGTGCTGAGGACCAGCGCCCCGCACATGCCAGGCGAGCACGCTACCGCTTGCGCCATATCCCCAGCCCTAGAACTGATATTTTCTGTATTTCCCAAGTGCTGCTAATGTGCACAAACGCTGATGAGGGGATCAAATGATTCCTTAAGAGCAAGGAGTTTTGGTTTAATAATTTGCAAGGGTCCTAAAGATTTACCTAACTCTGACTCAATTACAGGCCTTTTTAAGTATTTGTTTATTAATTTATCTGGCAGCAAAGTGTGAGTGAATTTCCCCTGTTATCACCACCTAAATCAACTCGTGCTAGTTTGGGGATAACTCCAAATCTATGCTTTCCTCTTCATCCTGCGCAGCAATAAAATGGAGGGGTTTGACCTTTCCTCATCACCAGTTAAATCAGTTCTTCTTTGATAGTTTTGGAATTAATTCTGTCAATTCCTTTTTCCTACATATATCAGAACCATTTCCTGTTAATAAGATATATTGACTTTTGGTTTTATTATGTTGGCATAAATACTCAGGGAAAAACTTTTCATTTGAACACATATGAGAGATTGCTCAGCTGATCTTTAATTTTTTTTTTTAAATTACTTTCTAAGGTTGAGCAGGTAGATTCCAAAGTTTGTGTGACAAAATAACAATCTGAACAGCATGGTGAGGGATATTGAGAACAAGGAGTTTTGGTTTAATAATTTGCAAGGGTCCTAAAGATATTAAATATTATTTAATATCTGGCCCTACCAGATATTAAAACCATGTGGTTTGATGCATGAATAGACAATAGTATCAAGGGAGCAGCATAGCAAGTTCAGGAATGGAGCCAAGTTCATAGGAACATTAGTGTATGTTTCAGACAGTATCTCAGCCTATTGGAGAAGGAGGGTGAACTTTGAATGAAGGGTGTTGGGACAATTGGATAATAACCATTTGAAAGTAGATAAAACTGAATACATACTTCACAATGTGTATCAGAATAAAAGGACTTAAAGTATTAAAGGAAAACATGGCATAATTTTATAACTTAGAAATGAAAAAAGCCTTTGATGATTATCACTCAAAATTTAGAAGAAATCAAATTGTATTTTTATTATTACTATTATTTCCTACTAGGGATTGATCGCAGAGTGCTTTACCACTGAGCTACATTCCCAATCCTTTCAATTTTTTTTTTTGGGGGGGGGGGACAGGGTTTCACTAAGTTGCTGAGGCTGGTCTCAAACCTGTAATCCCCCTGCCTTAACCTTTCACTGGATTTTGCTTCAGTCTCCTTATCTCTGGAAGTGTCCAAGTAGGGAGGTATGCACCACTGTGCCCAGCTCAAATTTTAAAAATGATTGATTTGATAATTTTTTAACATAGAAATAATGTGTATAAGCATGATGCCTCTGAAGTAAAAATACACTTATGTGTTTATTCATGTTTGTTTATTTTAATTAATTTATTTATTTATTGTTACTAGAGAGTGAACCCAGGGGTGCTTAACCACTGAGCCATATCATGAGCCACTTTTTTTTTTTTTTAAAGAGAAGTTTTTGCTAAGCTGCCTTAGGGCCTTGCTTAGTTGCTGAGCCTGGTTTTGGACTTGGGATCCTCTTGCCTCAGCCTTCCTAGTCACTGGGATTACAGGCATGCGCCACCATGCCCAGTCATATTTGTTTAATTTTGTAAGAATTACAGGAAGAAGGAAACAGTGGGAATTCTCAACTGTTGGGGAGGAATGAGGTGTTGGGGACAGGGATGAGAATGAGAATTCTCTAATCAACTTTTATATAGAAGCAAATATAATTTTGTGTGGCCTGAAGCACTTTTGACTTTGGAGGTCCTCTTTAAGAAAAGAATGCAAAATTAGACATGAAAGTGAATATTTAGACTGAATAAAAGAAAGAATTATAAATTACTAATTTTACCTGGGTCTGGTGGCACATACCTGTAATCCCAGTGGCTCAGGAGGCTGAGACAGGAGGATCTTGAGTCCAAAGCCAGCCTCCACAAAAGCAACTCAGTGAGACCCTGTCTCTAAATAAAATACAGAATAGGGCTGGGGACATTGCTCAGTGGTTGAGTGCCCTTGAGTTCAATCTCTGGTACCCCAAATAAATAAATTAATGACCAATTTGTGAAAGTTGACAAATTCCACTAACATCACAAAACCCAGAAAAATATCCTATTTTTATAAGCAGTTTGACATGATCCAGTAGACTAACTCCTGGCTAGTACGAGTCAAGCCCTGTTTCTTCTAGAACTACTAATACCTCATCCTGTGGACAGAGCCCATATTACATTATGTTCCCTGGACCTGCAACTTCATGTCCCATCGCTGGTGAGGGTTGATGGCGGTACTTCTGCATGTCGTTCCTGCCCTGGGATGGAATGTCTGGAAGGACACGCCTGTAGACCAAGTCCACGCATGTCTATAAATGCCCCCCCCCATCTTCTGTTAATGGCTTTCTTGTTCCTCGTACACCACTTTGTTATTTGACCTTATTTCCACTAATGAATGGTTTTGGTTTTTCTCCAGCAAAACTTTGGGAAGGCTTTCACTGGATTTTGCTTCAGTCTCCTTATCTCTGGAAGTGTCTGAAATAAGGTCAGTTTTTCTTAATATTTTTGAATATATTTTCTCACAGTGGAGATGGAAGACTTGGGGGTGGGCGTGCTTGCCCTTCCTACAAATGTCTGCTTATTTCCCTCTCCCTTCTGGGGTGTGTTTATGACCTCTATAAATGATGAATGGAGAAGACCAATTCTGAAGTTATATACTGTGTATGGATTTCTTTTTTTGGTACCAGGGATTGAACCCAGGGTACTTAACCACTTAGCCACATCCCCAGCCCACTTTTTATTTTTTATTTTGAGAAGTGTCTGGCTAAGTCGGTTAAGTCTTCACTAAGTTGCTGAGGCTGGCCTCAAACTTGCAATTCTCCTGCCTCAGCTTCCCAAGCCCAGTGTACAGATTTCTTAAGAGGCCAGTAAAAAACTCCCCAAACTCCCCATTTATCTCAAAGCCTCTGTACAAATGTGATTCAGACACACTTCACCAGGACTGTCCTGTGATGTGTACCCATATAGGATGTTGCCACTTCTTTGTACCAGCAATTTTCTAAGCAATAGCCTGGTATTGATGGCTCTTGCTCAAGTTTCTGCTGCAATTGGCATTAAAGTTTGGCTGCTGCAAGTCTTGCCATACAGGGTCCTGAGTACAGAAAGGATACCATCCATTAGTCCACAGTTTGTTTGCCTCCTAGGGAAGGGGACAAGTAAATTCACATAACAAGCTGACCTCAAAATGTCCTTTCTTTCTAAGACAAAAGGCCTGTCTGTAACCTACAACTGAGTGTCTGTGGTTAAAAGAACTATTAAGAGTATGCTCTTTAAATTAAATGAGCTCTCATTAAATGTGGGATTCCATGGCTTCTGCCAAGTAAAGAGGAATTCCCTATTCAGAATGTGCTTCATGGTGGCTCCCTAGGTAACCATCTCCCCAGATCCCTGTGTGGCTTCGAAGTAGATGAAGGACTGCCCGCCTCTCTCCTCCCTTTCCTGTCATCTCCCCTTCCTGGTTTACTTGAATGAAAAGTGTGCTAGTGTGTCCTGTTGATGACTGCATCTATGTGATTCTGTAACACAGAGCAAGATTCTGTGTCTCACAAATTGGAAAAACAAAACCCACAGACACAAGCATTAGAGCAAAGTACAGGATTTATTAGAGTAACAGAAAGGAATCAGAGCTCCCGAAGGGGAGGGGTCCCGAGTGATGGGGTCTGCTGTCTAGAGGTTTTTATGGGCTTGATCTGTCCCTATAAGTGATTGGCGGGATGGCATAGAAATATAGGATTCAGAAAGGGGACCTATCACCTCTATTTTGTCTTCTTCAGCAAATTTTTTCTAGAGCAAAGTGACTTCTAAGCGCTTATTTGCATTGGGTAGGGGTGAGGTCTGTTGGCACAAGAAGTACCTTTTGCAGTTGGTCATGTCTAGGGGCTGCTAAGGAACTGTCCTTGTAGATAGGAATAGCTGGGGTCAAGAAGCTTGATTTCCCAGTGTTCTCTTCCTTCTTTCTTTCTCTGAGTCCCTGTGCCTGGCTGCCTGTGAATGAACTGTCACATCTATCCATTTTGAGATCCTCTGGAAATTAAGACATTAAGAGTTGACTACAACCGGGCACAATGGCACATGCCTGTAATCCCAGTGGCTTGGGAGGCTGAGTAGTTCAAAGCAGTTCAAAGCCAGCCTCAGCAACTTAGTGAGGCCCTCAGCAATTCAGTGAGACCTGTCTCCAAATAAAATACAAAAAAGGACTAGGGATGTGGCTCAGTGAGTCATCACCCCTGGGTTCAATCCCTAGTACCCAAAAACAAGGTGACTGCAGGGAGTGACTAGATGCTGAGATGATATCTACGTGAAAACATTTGGAAGTTTGGGGACCTTTAAGACTACTGAAGCCAGTGAGGCAAACATGTAAAAGGAACATCTAGGAAAAAGCTTTGGTAAATCCTGATCAAACTATTTTCTCTGAAGACTAACAATAATTTTTTTTAGAAAAAAGTGAAAAGATGGCACAGCTTCTGCTTGTATGGGCAGCTTACTATTTAAACTGTTCTAGGTTTCATAATAAGTTGTTCAAGCCGGGCATGGTGGTGCTCACCTGTAATCCCAGTGGCTAGGGAGGCTGAGGCAGAAGGATTTCAAGTGTGAGGCCAGCCTCAACAATTTAGGGAAGCCCTATACAACTTAGTGAGCCCATCTCTAAATAAAAAAATAGAAAGGGCTGGGGATGTAGCTCAGTGGTTAAGCACCTCTAGGCTCAATCCCTGGAAGAAGTAGTAGATGAAAAAGAAAAAAGGAGGAGAAAGTGGGGAGTTGGAGGGGAGAGGGAGAGAAAAGAGAGAAGTTGTTCAGAATATTGATGTATTGGTGGTCTGTGGGATACCTTCGATTTCCTTGGAATTCCAGGATGATCTTTAAAAATGATCACAAAGACTACCATAAGCATTTCCCATGTCATTAACAAATGTCAAATGAAAAAAAAAGTAAGTATAACTAGGAAATGCAGTAGGTTCTTCATCAGCCAATGATGGCTTGAAAATATCCAGGAAAAAAGTCCTGTCTATACTGAACATGTGCCAGCATTTGGGGCCATTATTCCTTAAACAATACAGCATAGCAGCTATGTACACGGTACTTACATTGTATTAGGTGCCATAACTTATCTGAGATGACTTTAGGTACACAGGAGGACATGCCAAGGTTATATGCAAATAGGAGATCATTTGATATTTGTGATTGTGGTGTCCACAGGGAGTTTGGAACCAATTCCCCACGGATACTGAGGGACCACTGTGTGGTAGCAGGATAACACCTGAAATAGTCTCCCCATAAAATTGAAATCAAGACACTTTCCAGAGGTTAGCTGCACTGGGTCAGATTCTCGGTGGACCGGCGTTGACTTCTCTTGCCCACTCTGTGTTTTCAGAGCTTTGCTGTGAGCGGCAAGGAAACTAGTGAGCTAATCATGCCCATTCCCTTCCTGGCTTCCTGTGATGTCCTGACCCAGGGTGCAAGTGGTAGGACTGATGCTTCCTATGTTGGGTCCCAGAGAGCAGCACAGGGAGGGACCTGCATCCTTCTTCACACCCAGCAGTGCCTCCCCGTGGCATGAGCCCAGTCGCCCCTCCAGTAAGCAAACTCTAGGTTCCAGTGACATTCCCTTGGCCCGGGAGTGAGGGGTGCTTCCTGCACTCACCAGTCTCTGAATCCCCTGCCTTGTCTTTTGTGACTCCTTCCTTTCTTGGGACAGTTCGTAGCTAGGCTTGTTTTGTATAAGATCCCATCCATTTGAAAAGAGCCCTAGTGTAGTTCCCTTCCCCCTGACTCAGGTTCTGAATAACGGTGAACTTAGGGCCATTTATTTTCTCTATTTTTTATGTTTGCCTTACTATGCCTGCATTTCTTTATTTTTAAACAACAGTTTTATTGCAGCAGGATTCACATGCCATAAAATACCCTGTTAAAAAGTGTACAGCTCAGTGTGTTTTAGTATATCGCAAGGCTGTGCGGTCATCACCACTAGCTCATTTCAGAACATTTCATCACCACAAAAAGAAACTGTGCACTTCAGCAGTCCCTCCCCATTGCTCCTCTCTCCCAGACCCTGGCCACCACGAATCTGCTTCCTGTCTCTGAGGATTTACCCACCCTGGACACTTGATACCTGTACGGCTGATTGTATCTGACTTCTTTGCTTTAGCAAACGGTTTCAAGTTTCATCCATATTGTAGCATTTATCGGTGTTGTTTTTTAATGACCAAATAACATCCATTGTAAGGGTATGCCACATTCTGTTTATCTATTCATCACTAGGTGGACATTTGAGTTGCTTAGAATTTTGGTTGTTATGATTTATGCTGCTATGAACATTCACATAAATTTTATGTGAGTCAGGCACGGTGGTGCACACCTGTAATCCCAGCAGCTCAGGAAGCTGAGGCAGGAGGATCACAAGTTCAGAGCCATCCTCAGCAACTTAGCAAGGCTCTAAGAAACTTAGTGAGACTCTGTCTCAAAATAAAAACTAAAAAGGGCTGGGGATGTGGCTCAGTGATTGAGAGACCCTGAGTTCAATGTCTCATACCAAAAAAAAAAGTTTTGTGAACACATTTTCACTTCTCTTGGGAGTTTCTAGGTTAAATGGCATTCCCAAGTTTTTGAGGAACTTCATTTTCCAAATATATTGCACCATTTTGCATTCTGTTTTAGTCAGCTTTTTCACTGCTGTGACTCAAGGACCTGACCAGCACAATTATAGAGGAGGAAAAGTTTATTTGTGGGGGTGCACGGTTTCAGAGGTCTTCATCCATAAGTGGCGGCCTCCATTCCTCAGAGCTCAAGGCAGGGCAGGACCACATGGTGGAAGAATATGGCAGAGGGAAGCAGCTCACTTGATGATCAGGAACCAGAAAGAGAAGTTGCCCCCCATGAGCCACTTCCTCCAGCCACACCCACCTGCCTCAGTTATCACCCAGTTCATCCCATTAGGGATAAATGCTCTGATTAGATGAAGGCTGAAACCCAGTCATTGCTCCTCCAAACCTTCTTGCATTGTCTCACACGTGAGCTTTTGGGGGACACCTCACATCCAAACCATGACACACTCAAAATAAAAAATATACAGAATGTACAGAATGTTCCCATTTCCCAGCAGTGTACGAAGGTTCCCGTTTCTCTACATCCTTGCCATTGGTTGTCATTGCTCGTGTTTTTGGCTAAAGCCACCCTAGTGCGTATGATACGATACTACATTGTAGTGTTGACTTGCATTTCCTTATTGAGTGATGATCCTGGGTTACTTTACTGTGCTTATTGGCTATATGTATATCTTAGAATAAGGTTTATTGTAACTCTTTGCTTATATAAAAATTGGGGTGTCTTTTTTATTACTGAATTATAAGAGTTCTCAACAGATATACCAGTCGCATGTTAGGGACATGATTTGCAGAAACATCCTGCATTCTGTAATTTGTCCTTTTGTTTTCTTGCTAATGTCTTTCAAAGCAGGAAATTTTAAATCTTAGTGGCATTCAGGTTAGG